TCAAGATAAGTCTTGGAAGTCAGCTCAGTGGAATCTGTATGTAGTCAATTGCTCAAAGGCAAAAGAACTTCTTTACAGTAATTGGGTAACTTAAAATACGCTTTACACAAGCTCAATTTGTGCTTCATTAGAGTCCTGATTTACATGACAGAGGGGACACTGAGGCATCGGAAGCGTGTTCTTCCATTTACGCTTTTCATGTACTGTGAGGCAGGTCAGCATCTTGGTACTGCTGAGCAAAGCCTCCAAATTCAAAAGTAGAAATGGTGTACATCCCAGAGTAGGCCTGTACACAGATGACTTGTAATTACAATAAGGTGGTAAGTAGAATTCATTTTTATCATGGAGCCATGTTACTATTCAATTTGAATTGTAATCATTATTAACTGACTTTTCTTGTTGCATTTTAGGCTGGTGCAGGTTCTGTCCTTTAAATTAGTTTCCAGAATCTTGACAGATAAAACAAGATGTCTGCCCTCTTAAAGCTCCCTTCCTGTGAGTCAATACTACCACATAATATACAGAACTACTTGTTTAGGCTGCTGACAATTTAAGACAGTTATAATGAGCTCAAATAACAAAACAAAACAGGACATGAACAAAATCATGACAAATATTTAAATTGTCCTTAAGGTATCCCCAATTAAATTTCATCAGAGTATCATGTCGTGTAAAAAAACTCTTATTTTACCCCCAGTCCAAAGACTGGATTTTTTCCAAGACAGAAATGGTGCTTGTCCCAAACCACTTCCAAGGTGGAATGGAATAGCTGACATCTTTAACTTGAAGATGTCTCTGTGTCTATCTTGCCATCAGGCAGGAAACACCTAAGGTCCATCAGGACTTGGGTCTGTCAGACTGCCAGGGTCTTGCGATTGGAACCAGCACAAGTGATGAGCTGGCAGGTTCTTACGGTAATGTTTATTGTGGCTCCCAGACACTTACTTGACATCAAGATCCGTCACCTCCGAGAACTCTTAAGTATCTTGGAGAACTCTAGCTCAAAATCAAGCAAATAAAATTCAGTACAAACCAACAATTTAATAACATCCTATTTCAAGTTTTTTTTCAGCTTCCTCACATTCCAAACGGGGACATCCTTAGAGCATTATTAGTGATAAAGGCAACATTTCATATTCTGATTCATACATAAATATGAATCTCAAGTATCAAAGAATCTGGAAGGGAATGGAACAAACCAGCCTGAAAAGAATTAGCAGGGGAATAGTTGTTACTCACCATCATAGAAAATAACGGCTGGCAAACTACCTCATTTGAGCTGATCTCCACATCTGTGTAGCTTTTCATTTATAATAGTTCTTCCTGTGGGCTCTGAGGTGTTACTTCCTTTTTTTTTTCTTTTCTTTTTTTTTTTTTTTTCCCTTTTTTCTTCCTAGTTACATATGTCCTTAAATGGATGATGATTGATTGGTGGGGGAAGAGTAATTTTACCTAATTTAGAGGACTAAATGAAGGCTTTTTACAAGTTGTAAGCTGTTTGGGACCTTTTAGCTAATTGTGAATGACTTTTCTCCAAAGAGTCAAACTGCTCTAAAATCCGGCTTCTGAGCTCCAGCGGTTGAGGTGTGTGTCCGCCGCCCCACGCCTTTCTCTCCTGTTTTAATAGACTAGACGAGCAGAACCCGGCTAGGGAGCAGCTACGTGCACAGCGTAAGCCCGCAGAAGAGGCTCAGGGGTCAGACAGGGACAGGCAGTTCTGACAGTCTGAGCAATAACATCTTTTGCTGGATTAGAGTAACGCAAAGAAACACGTCTACGTAGCCCTGTTCTGCACAAAACGCTAAGCCTCACAGAGGCCTGTGGAGTGGGGGAGATGATGGGTTTGCATTTGTGTACGACGTTCCTGTTCACTAAGGACAGTTCCGAAATAGGCTTTTGGGAAAAGTCAACTATACACATCTTCCACTGCCTACATCCTCACTTTCAAATCTGCAACCTGTTGTCTTTGAAATCATGTCCTCATTCTTTTTTTGGGTAGTAATCTCATAATAAATGTTTTCTCTTTCATGCTGTTAAACTGAGCTTTGTGGCTAAGTGCAGATTGTACCTTACCTGTTACCAAACACAGTTCATCATACCCACAGCTGGAGAGATTTGGGGTTATAGTGAAACTCCAGTGGGCTGTAATAGAATTCAGATCTTGTCTTTTCACAGGCAAGAAAACTCATACTTTTTGAAAACCCGGACAGGACCCACACTTTATCAGCCAGGGCAGGAAAGGCTGTTTTACCCGTGAGCTTGCTGTGAACTGGTGCGATCAGATGCCGAGTGTGTTGTTCAGCACCTCTAGAGGATCCGTGAATGGAGACTTACTGCTTCCAACCCTGTGGGTAAAAGTCGCTTCCTGGCTTACACACACCGCAGTAAATCCAAGATGCTTTCCCCACCTGCCTTTGGTCTGCTGCTGCATTACACAGCAAACAACTCACTTGTGTCCGCCCTGATACTGTTGAATGACAAGTTTAACAGGATTTATCCTCCCCGAGTATCTTGTCTAAAGCTATTGCCTTTAATCCAGCTCTGAGAAGATTATGGTTTACGTACTGGAAAACCGCAGGGACTGCGCTTTCACGGGGCTTGCCCAGGACTTGACCGTACTTCTACCTTACAAAAGTGAAATAAATTATTCTCTGGGGGAAAAAAAAAAGTATTTAAAACTATTTACTGCTACCTTCTGATTTGTTCCATATCCTGTGCAGCTGGAATGAGAACTCATGGTCCAGCTTTCCAAGTCCACAAAATTACTTTACCTTAAACTTGTGAATTATACAGCTTTGTTTCTTTTCCTCAGTCTCTCTTTTTTTCCGCAAGTTTCTAAGACGATTTATTCTAAGTATGTTCAGTAACCTGTAAAGAACTTTTCTTAAATACATTTTCAGCATTTTATGACAAAAAAACCTTGAAGTGCCGATCCTCAAACGGAAAATGGAGTGTCTTCATTTTGCTACAGCATCACTCAGGAGTATGAAAGATGTCAGTAACAGACAGGGTTTGGACTCTATACAAAATCTTTCTCTGTCAGGAAGAGGCTTTAATTAAAAAAACGAGATGAGAAGTAAGTGTGTTTTTTTCATTTAAGATGCTGAAGCTCTTTAGCATTTTACAAATTAATATACAGCCTGATGCTTCAAATACTAAGGTGAAAACTGCCCATTAATGACCTGTAATGAATATTTCATTTTCTCTCCATATATGGAAACAGAATAAAAAATTAAATGTAATGAAAATTAACTGTAAGAATGACATTAATCAGTTATGAAGAATAGCATTTATTAATATGACCTGGAAAATGTATCACATGCCACCTGCCACCATCTAGACCACTTCAGATACTTTACACAGCTTTAGTAAAATCAGTAACAGGATGTTTATAGTTACTCTCTCAACCAACATAGAAACATTTATACATTTTATACTAAAAAATCCTAAAAGCACTAAAAAATCCTTATCTTTGATCTTGCTCTCAATAATGTGAGATACGTGAAATCGTATGTCCACAGACATATCTCTTCCCACCCCTTCCCGCTCTAAAATCAGAGTTTACAAAGCAGCTATGTTTTCTGATGGTGAAGGTCTCAGTCTGATCGCTGAGCGTACACTGGCAGAAACATCTGTTTTTGCAGATCCC